GAAGTACGCCCAACTCCAGCTCCTCACAGACCCCGTTAGGGAACTGGAGCTGGAGCTGGATGAACTCCGGATCATTCGGGAGGCTGAGGGGGTGATAGAGAGGAGTTACAGGGAGGTGGTCACACCCAAGATACAGGAAAAAGGTAGCTGGGTGACTGTCAGGAGGGGCAAAGGGAATAGGCAGACAGTGCAGGGATCCCCTGTGATCGTACCCCTCAATAATAAGTATACCGTTTTGGATACTGTTGGGGGGTACGACCTACGAGGGGAAGGCCATAGCGGCCAGGTCTCTGGCACTGAGCCTGGCCCTGTGGCTCAGAAGGGAAGAGGGAGAATAGGAGAGCAATAGTGATAGGAGATTCAATAGTTAGGGGAACAGACAGGAGATTCTGTGGTACTGAGCAAAACTCCCGGATGGTATGTTGCCTCTCGGCTGCCAGGGTCAGGGATGTCTCAAATCGAGTCTTCAGGATTCTTAAGGGGGAGGGAGAGCAGCCAGAAGTCATGGTACACATTGGTATCAATGACAAGGCTAGGAAACAGGATGAGGACCTGAAAAGTGAAGAGGGGGAGTTAGGATGGAAGATGAAATCCAGGACGAGTAGAGTAGTAATCTCAGGATTACTACCGGTGCCAGGGCTAGTGAGGCCAGAAACAGAGAGAGAGTGCAGCTGAACATATGGCTACAGAGCGGGTGTAGGAGGAAGGGCTTCAGGTTTGTGGATCATTGGGATACCTTCTGGGGAAGGTGGGACCTGTACTGGAGGGGCACCAATATCCTGGGCGGGAGGTTTGCTAGAGCTCTCCAGGAGGGTTTGAACTAGTTTGGCAGGGGGATGGGAACCGGAGCTACAGATCAGAGGATGTACAGGCAGATAGAGCCAGCAGAGAATCTGTGAGGAAGGATAAATAGTTGATAGGGCATAGTGGCAGTCACTGCGATGGGTTGAGGTGTGTCTACTTCAATGCAAGAAGTGTCAGGAATAAGGGTGACCAACTTAGAGCATGGATCAGTACTTGGAACTACGATGTTGTGGTGATTACGGAGGCTTGGATGACACAGGGGCAGAAATGGTTGTTGGATGTTCCGGGGTATAGATGTTTTAAAAGAAATAGTGAGGGAGGTAAAAGAGGTGGGGGAGTGGCATTGCTAATCAGGGGTGGCATCACAGCTGCAGAAAGGGAGTTCATGGAGGAGGGTTTGTCTATTGAGTCAGTATGGGTGGAAGTCAGAAACAGGAAAGGAGCAGTCACTTTATTGGGAGTTTTCTGTAGACCCCCCAATAGCAACAGAGACACTGAGGAACAGATTGGGAGGCAGATTGTGGAAAGGTGCAGAAGTAATAAGGTTGTTGTCATGGGTGACTTCAACTTCCCTAATATAGACTGGAACCTCCTGAGTGCAAATAGTTTGGATGGGGCAGATTTTGTCAGGTGTGTCCAGGAAGGATTTCTGACTCAATACGTAGATAGGGAGGAGGCCATATTGGATTTGGTGCTTGGCAACAAACCAGGCCAGATTCAGATCTCTCGGTGGGAGAGCATTTTAGTGATAGTGATCACAACTCCCTGACCTTTACTATAGTCATGAAGAGGGAAAGTATTTAATTGGGGGAGGGGAAATTACAATGCTATTAGGCAAGAACTACGGAGCATAAATTGGGAACAGATGTTCACAGGGAAATGCACGACAGAAATGTGGAGGTTGTTTAGGGAGCAGTTGCTACGAGTACTGGATAGGTTTGTCCCACTGAGGCAAGGAAGGGATGGTAAGGTGAAGGAACCTTGGATGACAAGACAAGTGGAACATCTAGTCAAGAGGAAGTAGGAAGCTTACTTAAAGTTGAGGAAGCAAGGATCGGACAGGGCTCTAGAGGGCTACAAGGTAGCCAGGAAAGAACTGAAGAATGGACTTGGGAAAGCTAGAAGTGGGTATGAGAAAACCTTGGCAGGTAGGATCAAGGAAAACCCCAAAGCGTTCTAGTCTTATGTGAGGAACAAGAGGATGGCCAGAGTGAGGGGAGGGCCAATCAGGGATAGTGGAGGGAACTTGTGCGCAGAGTCAGAGAAGGTAGGGGAGGTCCTTAATGAATACTTTGCTTCAGTATTCACCATGAGAGGGACCTTAACGTTTATGAGGTCAGCATGAAACAGGCAGATATGCTCGAACAGGTTGATGTTAGGAAGGAGGATGTGCTAGAAATTTTGAAAAACTTGAGGATAGATAAGTCCCCTGGGCCAGACAGGATATACCCAAGGTTACTATGGGAAGTGAGGGAAGAGATTGCTGCCTCTTTGGCAATGATCGTTCCGTCCTCACTGTTCACTGGAGTAGTACCAGATGATTGGAGGGTGGCAAATGTTATTCCCTTATTCAAGAAAGGGAATGGGGATAATCCTGGGAATTACAGACCAGTTAGTCTTACTTCAGTTGTGGGCAAATTATTGGAGAGGATTCTGAGAGATAGTATTTATGATTATTTGGAAAAGCACAGTTTGATTAGAAATAGTCAACATGGCTTTGTGAGGGGCAGGTCATGCCTCACAAGCCTTATTGAATTCTTTGAGGATGTGACAAAACACATGGATGAAAGCAGAGCAGTGGATGTGGTGTATATGGATTTTAGCAAGGCATTCGATAAGGTTCCACATGGTAGGCTCATTCAGAAAGTAAGGAAGCATGGAATTCAGGGAAGTTTATTTGTCTGGATACAAAACTGGCTGTCCAATAGAAAACAGAGGGTGGTAGTAGATGGAAAGTATTCAGCCTGGAGCTCGGTCACCAATGGTGTTTCACAGGGATCTGTTCTGGGATCTCTGCTCTCTGTGATCTTTATAAATGACTTGGATGAGGAAGTGGAAGGATGAGTTAGTAAGTTTGCCGATGACACAAAGGTTGGTGGAATTGTGGATAGTGTGGAGGGCTGTTGTAGGTTACAACGGGACATTGACAGGATGCAGAGCTGGGCAAAGAAGTGGCAGATGGAATTCAACCCAGAAAAGTGTGAGGTGATTCATTTTGGAAGGTTGAATTTGAATGCAGAATACAGGATTAATGGCAGGATTCTTGGCAGTGTGGAGGAACAGAAGGATCTTGGGATCCACGTCCATAGATCCCTCAAAGTTACTACCCAAGTTGATAGGGTTGTACAGAAGGCGTATGGTGTATCGGCTTTCATTGGCAGGGGCATTGAGTTTAAGAGTCGTAAAACTCTGGTTAGACCACACTTGGAATATTGTATTCAGTTCTGGTCACCTCATTACAGGAAGGATGTGGAAGCTTTAGAGAGGGTACAGATGAGATTTACCAGGATGCTGCCTGGACTGGAGGGCAGGTCTTATGAGGAAAGGTTGAGGGAGCTAAGGCTTTTCTCATTGGAGCGAAGAAGGATGAGAGGTGACTAGATAGCGGTTTACAAGATGATGAGAGGCATAGATAGAGTGGATAGTCAGAGACTTTTTCCCAGGGTGGAAATGATTATTACGAGGGGGCATAATTTTAAGGTGATTGGAGGAAGGTATAGGGGGGATGCCAGAGGTAGGTTCTTTACAGAGAGTGGTGAGTGCTTGGAATGCGCTGCCGGCAGTGGTAGTGGAGTCAGATACTTTATAGACTTTTAAGCGGCTCTTGGATAGGCACATGGATGATAGTATAATGTAGGGTATGCAGACTAGATTGATCTTAGTAGGATAATAGGTCGGCACAACATCGTGGGCTGAAGGGCCTGTACTGTTCTATGTTCTATAAGGGGTGAGGAGCTAACCCTATATTTTGTATAATTCACCAAACTCTCCTCTTTACTTTGAAATCTAAGCTTCCAATCATCCTCTTTAAAAATAATAGCTTGCACTTATGTAGCACCATTAATGTAGTAAAACATCCTCCGGAACTTTGCTGTGGTATTATCAAACAAAATCTGATACCGTGCCACATTAGAAAATGTGACCAACGACATGGGTAAGGAAGTATATTTTGGAAAGAGTGAAAAACAAATGCCATGTTCTACAACTGAGGCAGGTTTTCGAAAAAAGAGAAAGATCAAGAGGTTTAGGAAGGGAGTTCCAGAGCAGAGAACCTAGATTCTGAAGGCATGGAAACCAATGGTGGATTGAGGTCTATGAGGGATGTGCAAGAGGCCGGAATTGAAGGTTGCAGACTTGGGGTAGTAGGGCAGGAGGAGGTTGCAGAGCTAGGGAGAAGCAAGGACATGGAGAGATTTGAAAATAAGGATGCGAACTCTTAAATGGAGGTTTAGGATCACACTTTGATGCAGTGCTACTCAAAACTTTAACATGATTATCTTCCATGTCATCATGACCTAGTATCAATGTAATATCTGAAATATGGTTTGAACAATGAAAAGACATATCTTTCGTAGATTGGTCCACTGGAACTGGGCTAATAGTGATCTTCCCAACCTACACTATACAGAACCACATGTCCCTGTGTCATGAAACTTGGAACTCCATCCCTAAACCACTTTTGCCTCCTTGCAGATGTAACCTTCCTCCTGGACTGAGTTTCGGTTACATGTCCTAATATTTCCTCATAAACCTCAGCATCAATTTGAATTGGATTACGCTCCTGTGAAGCATCTTGGAATATTTCACTGCATGAAGGAGGCTACATGAATGCTGATTGTTGTTGTTGATTTAGCACAGTGGTGAGCATTGAATAGAACATCCCAGGAGCACCACCAGGGTCCTTACTGACCTCAGCTGTGTCAGTGATGAAGGTGGTCGTGGTAGACCCTGAGAGATGCCTCAAACCCAGTTTCCCAACAGACAACGACAAGTGCCAGTCAGGTTCATGAAGGGAGAAAATACAATGAGCAGAATGGGCAGCAAACTCTGTTTCTCTCTCCACAGACCCTACCAAACCTGCTGAGTTTCTCCAACACGTCTCTGGGAGTGGAATGTTAGTTTACAGTGTTTTTCTCAGCGTTGTCATCACTGTCAGCGAAACGTCATTATTAAAAAATGATCTTTCTTTTCAACAGTCGATTCATGGAGACTCAACTCAAGACCATCCCCTCTGAAGCTTTTACAAAGCTCCCAAACATTTCGAGGATGTAAGTATTTGCGATACCTATCAGCCTATTGATCACTCCCTTTACCCTAGACCAGACCTGAGCAAACTACATTTGCTGACCTCAAAACCAACAATTCACTTTCCCAATTTCTGCTCTTATCTCCGAAAGTGCAGGGGTAAATTAAGGCAGATTTTGCATTTCCGTAGTGCCTTTCACATTTTTCACATCGCACAATCAATGGCTAACACTGTTGTGATGGATGGAAAGTACAGCCACTGTGTACACAGTAAGCTCCCACAGGCAGAAATAAGATATGCAGTCTGTACGTCTGCTTTAGTGATGCTGCCTAGAATTAGCCTTGGGCCAGGACACTGGGAGGTCCTGACATGCTCTCCTTCAAATACCACCATGAAAACAACAGAGAGATGAACGATGGACAGTTGATGTGTTATCGCCCAGTCTTCACTATTTCACATAGTCAAAACCCCTCACACCACAGTGAATCCTGGTTGCAACATAATCAACATAAAATATTCAGCACTAAACAAAACAGGACATTCACGATGAACTTCAGGGGAATGATGAAAATGTGAAATCCACTACCGCAAGGAGTGTCTGAGGGGAATAAAATAGGTTCAAATAAATGGGGAGTTGGATTGACAGATGAAGGAGAAAGGACTAGAAAGACGTACTGGTAGATTTAGGTTGTGTGGGATAGAAGAAGACTTGATTAGCACAGGGCAGTAGGGCTGAATAGCCTGTTTGTGGACTTCATCTACCACAATGTTCCTGGAAAGCAGCAAGAATCCAGAATAGGTTCACAGTGTCAATCCCTAACCTGAACCCTAACCCCAACTGTAACCTTAAACCTAACCCCAACTGTAACGTTAACCTTAACCCCAACTGTAACCTTAAACCTAACCCCAACTGTAACGTTAACCTTAACCACAACTGTAACCTTAACCCTAACCCCAACTGTAATGTTAACCCTAACCCCAAATGTAACATTAACCCTAACCACAACTGTAACCTTAAACCTAACCTCAGCTGTAACCTTAACCCTAACCTCAACTGTAATGTTAACCCGAACCCAAGTGTAATGTTAACCCTGACCCCAACTGTAATGTTAACCCTGAGCCCAACTGTAACCTTAACCCTAACCTCAACTGTAATGTTCACCCTAACCCCAACTGTAATGTTAACCCTAACACCAACAGAAACCTTAATCCTAACCCCAACTGCAATGTTAACCCTGACACCAACTGTAACGTTAACCCTGACCCCAACTGTAACCTTAACCCCAACCCCAACTGTAACCTTAACACTAACCCCAACTGTAACGTTAACCCTAACCCCAACTGTAATGTTAACCCTAACCCCAACTGTAATGTTAACCCTAACC